TCCCTTGAACAAAGGCTCCTTGATATTGGCAAATGAGTGGGGGTAGAACTGCCAATCCTCAAGGATAGGACCATAGCAACTATTTTGTAGATATTGGTCACCAAACTAATGGGTCAGAAGTCCTTAGGTTGGCTAGCATCAGATTTTTTTGGAATTAAGGCCAAGAAGGTTGTATTAACACTAGGGCTTATGATATGTGTGTTCAAGAATTCCCTAAAGCCAGCAAATACATCATCCTTCAGCACTTCCAAACTATCCGATAGAAAGCCATTCTAAAGCCATCCGGACCCGATGCATTAGATCTGTCCATAGAGAAGACTGCCCTTTTTATTTCCTCTTCCTCAAAATATCTTTCTAGCCACATTGCTGCTTCCTCTTCTAGTACCTACCAATCTAACCCTTCTATCCACTCTTTCATCCAAGGGTCTTCTGTAAAAAGATTTGAAGTAATCCACAAAAATTCTAACTATCTCGTCATGATTGGATGTCAATTCTCCATTTGTCTCCAATCTAGCAACAAAGTCCTTACGCCTTATTACATTAGCCATCGCATGAAAGAATTTGGTGTTCCCATCCCCTTCCTTAATCCATTTATGTCTTAATTTTTGCCTCCAACTAATTTCTTCCCTAAGGAGAACTTTTTCCAATTCTTTTTTTAACTTCCACCTCAATTCCCTTTCTTCCCCATTAAGATTCCTCTCGACATCCAATTCTTCAATCTAAGAAAATAGTGTGATCTTCCCTTCTTCCAGCCTTCCAAAATGTTCTCTATTCCACTCCTTTATTCTAGCTCTCAATCATTGCAATTTCTTATGGAATTTGATTCCCTTCCACCTTACCCCCTTAGATCTGCCCTCCACCACTCCTCCACTTTGCTGACAAATTTTGGATGTATTAACCACATGTTTTCAAATCTGAGACAACATACAAAAACTTCTGAACCTAGTCTAAAGGGGTGGTGATCTGAGGTGACTCTAGGAAAAGCTCTAAATACCAAATCTTCCCAGAGATTCTCCCAATCAACATTAAACAAAAATCTATCCAGCTTTGAACACAAAGGGTTTTCCTAAAATCATGTAAATTGGGTTTGCAAAAGGGGAATCTCCTTCAATTCACATGTATCTATGAATTCATTAAATTTTCTCATGCTTGTGGTGATTGATTGATAAAGGTTGGGTGTTTCATTGGAAAATCTTATCACATTGAAGTCCCCACCCAAACATAAAGCACCTTCCCACACCAGAAAATCGTATCTCATGCTTGTGGTCATTCCTTTCTCTATAATTATTTGGCCCATAAACATTAGTTAATACCAAAGTGAATCCATCCTCCACATTCTTGAACTTAACTGAGACAGTGTATCTACCAATTAGCTCCTCCATTGATTCCAGCACTTCATCCTTCCATAGTGTCATTATACCTCGTGAAGCCCCCCAAGATGGAGCCTCAATCCATCTAATACCCCTCAATCTCCATAGGATCCTGATCCATCTTCTATCCATCTCTGCTAATTTAATCTCTTGCAACATCACAGCATCAGGATTTTGTCTTTTCAAATTACTCTCCTTTTTCTTGCACTCCCCAATCCTCTCACATTCCAACTAACTATTTTGATTCTTTCAGCTTTTAGTTAGACCCACTTCATTTTTTCCTTTCTCTACTTTGGTAACTTCCTTCTTCCTCCCCTCCCGCTAAATTCTATCACCCTCTACATCAGAAATTAACCTCTCCACTTCTGTCTTTTTCTTCTACCTTTTTTTCTTCACTCTTCCTAGAGTACACTTTTCCTTTCTAATTCCTTTCTGGATTGACCTTATTTTTCCTTTTTTCCATCTTACCCACCTCCTCTTCCCTCTTTCCTCCCATACCAGAATCTTTAGTAGCCTCATTAGATGCTAGCTCCCTTCCTTTAAGGTCCTCTAGGAGGTCACTAATCAGACCCCAGATCCTCTCTACTTCTTCCACCTGTCTCTTTTCTTCTGCCTCCCTCGCTTCTAAATTTACTATCACACCTTCCCCCCCCCTCCCCCGTTCCTTTGGGCTGGGTAGCTGGTGTACCTGTTGCAGGCAGAACACACATATCAGTAACCATAACTGAATGGACACATACCTAGGTTTGACGAAGATGGAGGGTCAGGAATCCCAGAATTGGAAGTCAACATATCCTGCCTATCCCCTAACTTAGGCTGTTGTAGAGTGGAAATGGGGACATTAACGTCCCTGGCTGTTCTAATGACCTTTTCTGGTATGCCCTTTTCTATTGCCTCAATGCAGACCTTACAGGTTTCCTGTTCGGGCCTAGGATTTGGCAGTAAATTCTCTACGCCGGGAGTGGGGGTAACCTGCTCAACTTCGACCAAGTGTACTGAATCTGAATGCCCAATTTCCTTTGCTTCAGCTTCTATAGGCAAGCTTGCTTCTTTGTCTTCCAGAAATAGTTCTTCTGTGTTAAGATTTCCGCAACATTCAAATCACTCTTCACATTCTGGTCTATACTTGCCAAATTTGAGAACTCAAAAGAATCGGAATCGCAGTCGCTACTGCTGTCCTCAAAATCTGATTCTAGATCTAGAATTTTCTCCTTACCTTTGCTGCTGCATCTTAAATTCTGGATTGCACTTTTCCGAAGAAGCGCTAGTCTTCCCTTTACTCTGTACCCATACCATTGCAGATTGCCGCTGTCATCTCTCATTTCCACCTCCAAAGACACCTGTTTTGATCGATGAGGAAGATGATGGACAAAAATTATTGTCCATCGTCAGGCCACCCTTGAGGGTCACATGACCTTTAAGATTTTCATGTACCAAGGCTAATTTAGGCCCAATAAATGGGCCTGACTTCAAGTTCAGCTCTATTTTCTTGGTGGGCTTTGAATGAGGAGACCAGGGCCCAATATTATTTTTCACCCTTGTGTTCACTTACTCAGTCCGGTTCAAAGTAGAGCTCCCAGCCAGCTGACCTACACCCTTACTTAAAATTTGAATTTGGGCCACCCGCACACGTTGAGGTCCCACCAGTCAGTGCCTCAGCATAAGAGTGGCCATGCGTCCCATCCCTTCCTTTCTTTGGTTTAAACATTTCTTCCTCTGTAGGTTTGCCTTTTTCTCTTCCCAGGAATTGCTTTGCCGTTTTGGTATAACTTCAATTCAGCTCTACTTCCACCATTTGACTCCTGCCACCTAGGAAGTCTTCTTCAAAACTTTCGTCTTCCTTTATTCTAGCTGCTCTCCACATTGCAGCTTCAGTGGCAGTTGTCAGCCAGACTGAGTATACCATCTGGTCATTTGCTGCTAGTACTCTTCTTGGAAATTCCTCTGGTCTAACCCCACTCAAGCAAATAGCTGCCGAGTGTAGATCAATAGCAAAGATGCCATCTAACTTGGCATTGCACAGTGAAGCAATCGACTTAAGGATCTCTTCCTTCCAAAGAAGGAAGTGTAGTCCAAGAATCCAAACGATGACACCATCTTCTTAGTAAGGCTTATTTCATTAGAAAGTGAGCTCCATTCTGCTACTGTGAATCCCCCAGATTCATCCACAAACTCCTTTGCAGCTATCTCAGCCATATTTTCTACTAGTTCAAGCAGTGCTTTCTGTTTCTCAAAGGGAGTTATAATTACTGCCCCCTTAAGCTGTAAATCCTTGATTATTTTTTCTGCAATCTTCTTCCAGTCTTGTGGCTGTTTTTTTGTCTGAACCACTAGTTTTTTTGACAATCTCCTCTCCCAGTTTTCTGAGTCTGAACAGACCTCCTTTTCCTGTCATGACCCATATCTTAGTCTGACTCCTTACAGCTGATTTGTTTACCCTTGTTACTTGCACCTTCTAAAAATTCCTTGAAACCTTCAATCACCCCCATACCTTCTACCAGCACCATCCCTCTCCTTGCTTTCCTGATTTTCAGACTGAGATGCCCCTTTAGTGTCAGTTCTTCAAAAAGAAGCTCCTTAGCTTCAATGTTCAATGTTTTTCTCCAGCGGCCTATCTCCACAAATCCTCCAATGTTTTTCATAAACATATTTATAATTTGATATCCCAATTAAAGGTGATGATACAAGGGTCTAGAATCCAAAAATCCAAATACCCCTTCTTAATTTTAAGCCAAATAAATGGCTCGAGAATTTTTCGTCTCATGACGTTTTTTATTTTTATGGATGATGTCTCGTGACATTCTGCAATTGATTTTTTTTAATAGGTAACAGGTATCATTTCATTAATATAAACAAAAATGTACAGTGAGGAACAAATGGGGTATGACTACCCCTAAAAATTGTTAATACAATTAAGCCCAAAATAATTGCTCCTTAACATTCTGCAATTGATTTCACCAAAACAGGGAATTTTCCCCACTTTTTTTACTCAAATTTGGAATATTTGCGGATGAAAATTTCTAAAAGTTCATTTTTTAAAATATTGGGGAAATGGGAAATATTGACAGATATTTTGATTTTTCTTATTCCAAGAGGCTTCCATATCACCCTTTGGGGAATGGGGAAATTTCGAGGAAATTGTGAACCATATTATAAGTTTACAGATAGTGGACAATGCTTGTTGTTATAGTAAAAATCTTGGGCTCTTAAGTGTCAGAATGCAGGTATAAGTCTGAGAGCAACCACCTTGTGCAAAAAGAAGAAAATGCAAGGTTAGGTCTCTTTCCAGTCCACCACTAAGAAGACCCCAGATGGCTAGGACCAACATTAGGTAATGGCTTTTCTATTTATAAGTAAGATTTCAAAAGTTTGCAGAAGAAAGTTCCTTTGGATTATAAATATCTTTTATCTTAGAAACATGAGTGGTATGTAAGCATAATGCATTCATGGTCTACTGGGCCATTCAGGGTGTATTTCTAAGGTAATCGACCTAGCAACTTTAGAGGTTTCCAATTAGGTTGAACTCATGGGCACCAATTCAAGTAGTTTCCATTCTACGATCCTCTATTAATTCAGCATATGACCAAGAAATGGTGAACAGTCAGTTACATGAGTGATACGAGTGTATACCTGGCAAGCAAGATCACGTGCACTTTTTCCAAGAGACAAACCAGACAACTTAGCACCCTCACTTACTGGAAAACCACATTGAGAGCCACTATTCTGAGAACCTTCTTCAGATAGGAGGTTGTAACAACAGCCTATGCTAACCACTGCTTTGATTTCTTTGCATTCAATAAAAGTCCTGAAAAGAAAAATACTGTCATATATTAGGATCTGATAGAGCCATGAAAATTGAACCAAGACATTAACAATTGGCATTGTAATTACATCATTCTAGAAAGATGAGATCTAGAGTGCTAGGTTTTTTTAAGCAGAGTGCTAGGTTGATGCCATAACAACAATAATGTAATAATATAGTCAATGCAGCATAAATGTAAGGACAGACATCTGCCACTCAATATGTATACCTAATGCAGCACAGATACAAGGGAATGACATCTTAGATTCAACAAACAGACTAAGGATGTTACATGCTCAAAATGAGTATGCTTAAATACTATACTGGGAGCAAGCAATGTGATGGGAGCATGCCAAGATGCCAACTGGAAAGGAATCAGATTCTAGATATTGCTCACTTGAAAATGTCTAGATTCCCATATTAGGACTGTGATGCTTGCCTGGTTTTAGATGATTTTTGGACAGCTAGTTGAAGGTTACTAGGTTAGTTGTTGCCCAAAAAAGGAGTCCTGAAGATTTTTCCCTAAAATAAAGGACAGTCAGAAAACTTTTGCAGTTATTGAGCAATTTTTATACATTGGTGCTCAGGTGTTTCTAGGTAAGACATATCATTAGAAGGTAGGTGGCTTTGTTTTCATTGGGATCTGGAATCTCTAGAGTGAGTGCCCCTATTTCTCCTTTTCTCCTTTTTCTTTTGATAAATGAATAATAATAATATTACTAAAAGAAGTATAAATTCACCCTAAGAGGAGGCACGAGATGTTACCTCCCCTTAGAGATGAGAACATAACCAAACTCTTAACAGGATACAGTCATAAGGTCAGCCCTTGAGACCCCTTGTTTAGCCAAAGAATCAGCCATAGCATTTGCCAATCTGCTAACCCACTGAAAACTGACTGACATGTTCTTTGTGAGACACTTAACTTTCTTGAGAAGATCCTCGTATCCCCAGAATACTGTATCTGGATTCAACAGCCAGCCCACTACCACCTTAGAGTCCCCCTCAACTCTCAACCAAGTTTTCAACTTTTTGCGGAATCTCACCCCTTTCCACTTCACCCCACTCATATCTTCCCTCCACCACTCCTCAATCTTCTTCACAATATCAGGGTGTGTCAGCCACATGTTATCAAACCTGAACGGTCAAGGGCCACACCTAAAAGGCTCTTGTCTTAGTTTAATTGGACCAAGTAAAGTGGGCTTGCACCATAGGAAGTTCCTTTAATTCACAATAGTTAATGAACTCATAGAACTTCCTAATACTAGATGTTTTTTTTATTTCATTTGAAGGGCTACACAAGCGGAGTAGCCCATCCCCCAATCCAAGTGCAGGCGGGATTCAGTCTCCGCTACAACCAGCAGGAGACCTTACCAACCAGCTGGTTGGCACCTTGCACTTCCTACCTTAACATCCACTTCCTAATTCTGGATGTTATGGTCTGTTGGGGATTGTTTGACTCATTAGTGAAACGAATTACATTAAGATCCCCGCCCCCAAACACCAAGGACCATTCAAACCTTGAATCCCAAATAGTTCTTCCCAGAATTCATTCTTCTCTCTGTAATTACTCGGTCCATACACATTGGTTAGTACCCAGCTGAAACCATCCTCCACCACTCTAAACTTTAGGGACACCGAAAAAATTCCTATTAGTTCCTCCACTAACTCCAAAAAGTGACAATACCTCCCAAAGCCCCCCAAGAAGGTGCGGAAACCCAATTAATTCCTCTACATTATTTCCATACACTTCTAGCCCATCTTCTATCAAGTTCAGCTAATTTTGTCTCCTATAACATTACAACATTTAGCCTTTCCTTTCTAAGGAGATCCTTTATTAGTCTTCTCTTCCTTGCACTACCTAGTCCCCTCACATTCAAACTAATGATTTTCATGGATAAAACAATGACTTCAAAACCCACCTCAAATTACATGGCCCTTGCGTAGAGATCTTCCTTCTCTCCCCTCTTCCACTAAATTCTAAATCTCCTTCTATGTCAGAAAAATCAATCTATCCACCTCCGATCTTTTCTTTTTCCTTCGGCTGTTTACTAGACCCGCTTTTCCTAAAGATGCTTTTGATCCTTTTAGTTTCTCCAATTTTCCTAGGTTTTCCTCTGAAGCTTCTTCTATGAGCTTATATTCCTCAAGGAGAGCACAAATTTGATCTCAAATCCTCTCTAATTCCTCCGCCTATAAATTTTTGAATACAAGTTTTCCTCTATCACTTTCCAAGCCCTTAATCTCACTCTCTACTACCCCTTCTTGAACTTCAAGGTTTTCTAGAGTTCCTTACATCAATTCCTCTCTTTGCTTATATTCCTCAAAGTAGAGACATATCTGCTCCCAAATCTTCTCTAACTCCTCCTGTTTCTTTTTCCTTCTCAGATCTTCCTCCTGATTTTTACCCTCAATGTCCAAGGCTAGGATCTCCCCTTCCATAGGCAGTCTTGCTGGTTGGGGTGCTACGGTACCTGTTTCAGGCACAAAACCCACATTATTACCAGAAATCAAATTGACAAACATACCTGGACTTGTGGAGGGGAAAGACAAAGAGGCTGAAATCCTTCTGTAACATGTAACTGTGGGATTAAATTAGGCTCAATCAAGACTATGTTAGCCGAAGCATCCAAAACCACCTTTTCAAGTTGCTTCCTAATTGATGATTTTGTTCACAGTGGCATAGACAAGTTCTGTCCCACTACGCCGTTAACAAGCGTGGGTTGCTCTATTGGGTTGGGTTTGTTTTTTGGTGTAGGTGTATCTTGTCTCTCCTTTGTAAAGCCTGCCAAATCCTCTGCTTCCTTGGATGAAGCCAAGTTCCGAGAGGACTTCTGTGTAAATTCTAACGAGCTCAAGTCGATTTCTTCTAGGAATAGTTGTTTAGTGTTAAAACTTTCATTGTCGGGAAAGGCCTTCGATCTCAGATGTTCCATGCTTCCTAGGCTAAGTAAATCATCAATGTCAGAGTCTAAACAGAACTCCAACAATAAACTCCCCTCCTCAAGGGGTTCAGTTTTACTACAGTCCGCTGCCTTCAAAGCAATAGAAGACGACGATTGAACATTCGAAGAGGCTTTCTTGTATCTAGGGTTGCATCACTCTAGGGAGAGACATTGTTTTCCTTTGCTTGGGATTTAAGACCAGGTCGAAAGCATCGTTGTCCTGCCAAAGATTGAAGTGGTGCATGCCTTGTTAGAAAAGAGACCTGCCTCTTTCAAATTTAAAGGCCCACTTGTGTTGGCTGGCCCACTGTTTTTAAATGGACCTGGGCCAGCGATAAGTTGCTTCTCCCCCACCTCATGACAACTTAAAGGGTCACGTGAAAGGCCCCAGTTCAAGAGGTCTGCCCAATTCCATTCCTTGAAGTGGTCCACCTCTTCGTTTTCTCTCGGTCCTCTTGTTAAAATTTGAACTCCCTTCACGTGCCTGTTTGCATTAACTCCTCCTGTCACCACCTGGGTGTAGGATCTGCCACACAACTATCTCCTCTGCCCAACGTTATTTCCCCAGATGCTAAAACCATCCCCTTGTCTCGTCTTTTTTGGTTTCAACTTTTGATTCAGCCATCTTTGTGCTAATGTTTCTGTCTTGCAACCCACGCAAGCCTACTTGCTCTGTCTCTTCGTCTTCCTCCCTGTGATCCTCCTTCCACAGTTGAGCTTCAATGGAGGTCGTCAACCAGACAGGGTATGAGAGTCCATCTGCTATTACTTCTATCCTTCTCGGAATGTCTCCAGGTTTTACTCCACCAAGCCTTATTGCTACGGAGTGAAGATCACAGTCAAAGACTCCATCTACTCTGGCATTGCATATGGAGGCTATTGACTGCATCGTTTCTTTCTTCCTGAGGTTGAAAGGCAACAATGTAGTTGGTTGCCTTCATTTCCTACAAAAGACTTCATCTCCTGGTTTGTCTTCTCCCCCTGTTCCTTGGTCTCCATTTCATACAAAAGAAGTTTGATGCAATCTGGTGTCCCCCAAAATCAAAGCTTTCTACTAGGAGATGTTTCATGAGAAAATCAACACTCTTGACAAGATTCAAAAGAAAAGACCCAGAAGGACAAGACTCGTCCTTTCAGCTAGTGCATCTTCATTCTTCTTAATACAAGACATCTTTCATAAGAAAGAAACAGAAAAAGAGATCCCCTTTCCTCTTGTTCTTCCTCAATGTCCTCTTCCTCCTTCCTCCTTCCTCCTCAGCCCCCTCCTCTTAAGGAGGCTTGTGCAGGAAGCTTATACATCTTATGTTCTGAACTACAAATCATGCGCCATGGTTTAAAATGTCCCTAAATTCCCTATTATTTCCAATGACATATTTCCATTTCCATGGGCAGCAACACAAAATTTTACTGAAATAGACATATTCCATAGTGAACACTACCAGCACTATGCAGAGTACAAGAGAGAGTATTAAAACATAAGTTGGTGATAATATTGTAGATATGAGTAGCAATGTTATTACTCACCTAACTTACATGATTACTACTTTGAGCCAGCTCAATATTCACTTCAATCATGAAGCTAAAAATTAGTTTTGTTGGTGTAATAGATTATTTGGTTGATCTGTTAGAACCATTTACATTTTCTATGAGTTCGAATTTTGCTTTAAGTCATTCTATCATGTAGCTTTGGATCTTAAGGTTTACAGGACAACTTCTTTTTTTTTTTTTTGATCAATAACACTTTCATTAATCATCAGTAGAAAATTTACAGGAGGAAGACAAACACACTTATCTTCCAAGAGTCACTAGGAGCCACAAAAAAGAAAGAAAAAAGAAGAAAAAGAGAAAAGAATACAGAATACACTAAAGTTACAGCTAAGCCCAAAACAGTGAATC